AGCTTTGCATCACAGAAATAAATTACATTTTAAAATATATTAAAATTGTAAACAGTTACTTTGAAGTGTAATACTATTTCACAATATTACTGCTTTTTTTGTACTGTATTTTTGATCAGATAAATGTTGAACATATACAATGGTGATAAAATGTGACTTCTCTCAAAAAAATCTTACCAACCCCAAACTTTTGAACAACAGTGTACATACTGTATTTAAAAAATCTGATTCACGGGTTCAAAACAACCCAATAGCTGGGTTTGTCCCTTTTTAACCCAGTGCTGGGTTATATGTAACCCAGCATTTTTTAGAGTGTAAGAGATTAATATTGTGTCATTCAAATATGCTTTTTTTCTGACTTTGTCATATTCTGTGGTGTATGTGTGTCTTGGAGAGATCTGTCCTGAGGAATCCTTGTAATTGTGCCGTTACAAGGTGTGAGTCCTCATCCATGTCCCTCTCAGCGAACCGAAGGCCATCTGCTGGTTCCCGCAGGTAATGCCGCCCTTCTCCTTTAACATACACAATCAGACACACTCAAGTTTTATAATTATAATGTGCTATATTCATTCAGTGCCAGTTCCTTTAAAACACATCCAGTTTTCCAGTGTAAAAAGTTTCACTGTGGCATCCTGTTTGATAAGGACGTCAGAGCTCAGCTGTCACTGTGTGTGTGTCACAGGTGGCCAGCTGCCCCAAGCAGCACTCGACACTCGCATGGAGACTCGTCTGTCCGTAGCAGTTACACAACAGCGTCCTGCAAGTGCACAGAGAGCAATACTGTACCACGCTCCAACCCAGCCACACCACGGTGAGCGACACACACACACTTACACACACACACACACACACACTCAAAGGCAGATTAGATTTGTCTTCCATCAGGGTTGTGTTCCAGATTTTGTATGGTGGCAGAAAGTACAGTACAGAAATAGAATTAATGGAACAGACATGACACTATATCCATTTAAAAGTCTGGTTACTTTCTGTGAAGCTGCTTTGCGATAATGTGTATTGTGAAAAGCAATATACAAATAAACATGAAACATACTTGTGTCCTAATCGGATATTTCAAAAGTTCTGAAATACAGAAATACTGAGATGATTATGTGTATTAGAAGAGATCACACAAAAATATAAAATTATATTATTCACAAACCCTGATGTTGTTCCAAAGCTGTTTTTATTTCTCTGTGGTTCACAACAGGAGATATTTTGTAAGAATGTGCAGGCTGCTCTTTTTAAATAAAAGTGAAAGGGGAGTAGGGCTATCATAAAAAGCACCACAGAAGTAGTTCATAGTACACGCACATTATTTAAGTCTGCTAAAGTTATACAAAGCTGTTATTCACTAAAAATCTTCCCTTTTGCTGTAGATCTCAATTGCATTTGTGTGATTGAATCAATGCAATTTTATCTTTAACATTTGTGAATGGTGTTGAATGCAAGTTGATGTCTTTGCAAATGTCATTTATTGCCTGGCAAAAAAAATAAAGTGTTGCATTGTTGTCTTTGACAATAAATGTGTAGACCTGACAGCTTCTCAAGTATCAGACACTGATGTGGAAGTTGGCAGTCACTCACACACGTGGAGCTATATCAGCTTCAGAGTGAATCTGCGATCAAAGTAAAAACCAATTAGTTCATTGATGCTGAAGGATTACGCTAAGCTTTTGCCGCATTAAGAACAATAAAAAACAACATTATGTTGAGTACATGGAAAATAAGTTGCGATCATGAGACAACAACTTTTTGTTATGTGAAAAATGAGAAAATAGCTATTTTCTTATGTTGAGATCACAACAAAACAAGAAAGAAAAAAATTATTATCATGCATTGCCACTTAGGGCTTCTGTAATTTTCTTTTTAACAGAAATATAGAATCTGTTGCTTTTTGTGCAAATGAGATGGGTAGACATCCTTGTTGCATAAATTTGCGCTATGGGTGTTGCACCAGTTGCCAGTCCTAATATTTGCACTTGGGCCTGTTATAACATGTTGTAATTATATGAGATAAATCGCAATTATAAATTATTATATTCATATATAAATATTATGTATTTCTTGCTCTCTGACTAGACGGCAGGCAAAGTATGCAACCTGTAGTGAGAATCATGGGATCCGTCCGCCTGCTCCTGAGCAGTATCTCACCCCACTGCAGCAGAAGGAAGTGTGTATTCGCCACTTACAAGCTCGGCTGAAAGAAAACGTGGAGAGGCTTCAGGACCGGTCAGTAATGCTTCTATCTCTCAACATCCTGTCAGTGGAGTTTTATAGCTTCGGGTCATCCTGAGTATTATTCATCCGGACATATATAGCAGAACCTACCCTGCATCTGAATATACCTACTTCCCTACTATGTGGTATGTGAAACGATCATTTCATAAAGCGCAAAAGAAACTACGAGCATGCAATGTCGTAGTTATGTCGTCATGAAGTTAACAAAAAGGCGAATAAAGCTGCCTTAAAACTGTGCATGCATGTATTTGTTATATATGAATCTCATTTAAGAACTCCCTCATCTAACACACCCGATTCAACTCGTCAGCTCATTAGTAGAGATTTTAAGACCTCAAGTGGGTCAGAAAAGGTAAAGGGTTGTGAGAAAATATGATGTGTGTCAGATCCGTGTCACATTCAGCAGCGGCTGCTCTTAAATAGCAGCCAAATAAGCTAATAACCAGCAGCTGTGATGTCTGTTAATCAAAAAAAAAAAAATATCAATAATTTTTGTAGCTTTAAGGATTCATCTATATTTAATTTAGAATTTAGTGTTTGATAACTTTATTCAATTTCTGTGTATTTTCTACTTGCTGAAGGGTACAGGTAAATATGACATTTATTATAATGGGTTTATGAGAAGATTGATTCAAGTTCACTTAAATAACAAATGTTAAAATTGATAGCTCTCAATTATACTGTAATGTTGAATATGGCTATAGTCAATGGTTAAATATTAGGGGCAGGGGGGGAAATTCCTAGTATTGGTATCAGTGATACTCGCATTCAGTCATAAAAAAGATGCCATTAAAAATATTTAAAATATACTGTCTTTATGCTGTTTCTACATTAATTTGAAGTTTGAATGTGAAATTATTGCAACATAAAAATATATTTTAAAATGTTTGTTAGGTGGGATTAACTGTGATTAATTTCAGAAAAAAATTACGATTAATGTTTTTTAATTGATTGACAGCGCTAGTCTGAATTTATAATATTAATAAAACATTATCTTACTACAAACATTCATACCGTATAGAATACTTTTTAACAGACGTGAAGTTCAAATCAAATGTAGTACCTACTACACAGTATGCTATTCCGGAAACAGCACTAGATTTATTTCTATGCCCTTGTTTGTTTGTTTTTTACCATGGCAGAGACTCTGAGATCGAGGAGTTACGGGTGCAGCTGACTCGGATGCAGGACGATTGGATCGAGGAGGAATGTCATCGCATAGAGGCCCAGCTGGCCCTAAAAGAGGCCCGGAAGGAGATCCGGCAGCTTCAGCAGGCTGTGGAAACCGTTAGGTCCAATCTGGGGCCCCATGAGGTAGATCAACAGGACTGTAAATCTGAAGGTCTAGGCGTCGGTAAGATAGGCCCACGATTTGGGGCATCCAGATCTTGTGGCTGCTCTCCGGCCCACACCATGAGCCGCAGTGCCACCTTCACCAGGCTGAGCAGTGACACGTCACCTGGTGCTAAAGATCGCAATGGAAACGTACGTTCTGATCGCTACATTCCCGCCAACAGAGGGGCGATGACATTACCAAGAGGGGACGGACGTACTCATCTACTTTTAGAAGCAGCTCTACTGTCTGAGCAAGTTCCTCACGCAACGCTATGCTCCACTTTGTCACGATCCTCCACCGGCGAGAGATTGTGCAGCGGAGAGACGGTGTTGCCCGTTAGCCGATCCTGCCATGCTGTTAACAACAACTGCAGCTGTGCTCCACATGCCTACCTCCCACACCACCATTTGTTTTTGCACCTCCCACAGGAGGAAGTTTTCGCCATCCTCTGCAACTACTTCCCCTGCTCAAATGTCATACGTCACAGAAACTTTGCCGCTAGACAACACAGTTGAATTTACATCATCAACAACGACGGCGACAGTGTTGATGAAGCCACGGGTTCAACAACCTTGTCCCAGAGCGTCACCACCTTTCGAGCCGCCACCACAGGAAGAAGCGGTAGTAAGGGTCAGTGGTGAAGATGGAATGGGAGAGGACACAGAATCAGCTCCCCCTCAGAGGAGCCACTGGAGCCGTTATTTCCTGATTGACCTCTTAGCGGTGGCCGTTCCTGTAGTTCCCACACTGGCGTGGCTTTGCCGGGGGGCGCGGAATGAAGGCATGCCAGTGTACAACATGGGCTCCCTGTTGCGCGGCTGCTGTGCCGTTGCGCTGCACTCTCTAAGACGGGTTGGCCGCGGTCCCTCAGGAACAGGAAGAGCGACACCTATCTGATAACTTTAGCATTACCGTACCATCAAAGACTTTTAACTGGATCTTGAGTGGAATCTTTGTCCTTGATTTCCCAGTAGGTAGTTTGTTTTTTGAACCAAGGAGGCCTAAATCCGTCACACCAATGCTTGTTTGGGACAAAGATCGAGGGAATGTGGCCCTAATTTGCACAGACACTCACAAGTTTCAAGGCTATTGCTCATTTCCACCATTTGTTTTTCATTTCCTTCTGGTTCTCTTATCTGCTTTATTTCCTCCCATTCCTGGACGAAACTCAGCAGGCAGTACACAGTCAAAAGTAGCTGCAAACAAGAGACAAGCTGAGCAGAGAAGTCACAATGTACAGAAATGTAGGCCTTAAAATTAAATATATATATATATATATGTATACTGTATGTGTATATATATATATATATATATTAAACCTCTTGAAACATCATTCTTATGTAAACTGTTTTACTGAACTGAATTCGTTCTGCTCTCGTTTCCTGAGTTAGGCCAGTTCACAAGAAAATTTTGCATGAGACTTTAGGTAGGTTACATAGACATTGGTGAAAATTGTTCTTCAGGAGAAGAGGACATTTCAGGTCCATAGCTCAAACAAATTAGCAAGGCTAGGCTTTCAAATTTTAAACCTTTACATACCTGCTTCTAAGCAATCATTGTGCCAATCGCATTTCACGAGAAACATAGCTTTTCACAATTATAGGCAACATTACATTTGTTTAAAAGGGAAAAATAATATTAAATGGTAACTGCACAAGAATCAATAGGCACCCTGCAACTTTGATGTTTGGATCTCTAAATAAACTTACATAGAACTAAAACACTGATCCTATAACATGAAAATGTTTTTACTAATGTGGAGTGTTTTACAGATCAGTATTCTGATGTCATTCTGCACTTTTCTACTAAAAAGGTAAGCTTTAGTTGTTTTATCACTTACATACGTGCATTAATATGAGCAAAAAGAAACTGCTTTACTGTGCTTTTTTTTTTTTTTGCTTATTATTCATGGAGTTGTAGAAAATAATTTAAAAAAATGCGAGATTTCATTGATAAAGCAATGGAAGGTGATGGCTTAAAATGAATTTATTAATCTGTCCTTTGGGTGGTAGGTTTTTCTGCTCTTTTAAACTCAGTCTCAGGTGGAACTCAGGTGAATAGAAGTAGAGAGGATGTAAAATTAACGGAATCCAATGTCAAAACGTTCATTTATTAAGAAACACGAAGGTTTATATAGAAGAATAGTTGTGAAAATGTAGATTTACTGTTCTAAATAATAGATTTTTTGATGACCATCACTTCCCAAAACAAATAGGTCTTCAACTGTTGCATGCAGATTTGAGTAAACTCTGTATTTGGGAAATACTTGCAATTAATTCATGAGTTTGTAAAGCAAAGTATTCTGTTTCTTTGAAGTAGCACCAATGAAGAAGAAGAAAAAAAACAGGATAATCATGAAGTTCCAGTAGATTACTTTAAGGGCTTAGATTGCATGTTAGCACAATAATTCCTTGTAGTTAATTACCAGTAAACTTAAAGATTCTGTTTCAGACAGACATTCACATAAAGAACTCATCCTAATCTGAAGAGTCTCATTGCAAAATATGATTGTGTGTTTAGACAGAGCCCATGAACATTCAAGCCTAATTGTAAATTTGGATTGTTTAATTCAGCCGCCCCTTAAGAGTTTAATTAAAATGACAAAGCTTCTGTTGTGCTAATGACTTTTTTTTTTTATTTACACCATCCTCACTTAAAGCAAAACACTGATACAAAACAATTACAAGCAATCAGAACATAATTGATGTTTAATATTTAGTTATGCAGAGTGGGATTTAGACCAATGTGATTTCATTGTGGGTGGGGCCCCCAAATGACTGACTAAATGTACCACCATTCATCGTCGTATCTGACATGATTATAACGACATGCCTGCAAACACACCATTTCAGTTTCTCAATCAACACAGAGACCAGCTTGATCTTTTTATAAACAATTTATTTTCAAGTAGTTTTGTTTTATACTTAAACCAGATTTCCCCACCAGAGTACTTATTACCAGCTCAGCCACAACCCTGTTTGCTGTGATCGCGTTTACAACACAGAAATCAAATATAAAACGAGAGGAAATGGAAAAAAAAAAAAAAAGAAACTTGTGTCTTAATGAACGTCCAATAATTGAGAGGATACCAGCGATTGTGTCAAGGAGAAAAGAAATAAAAAGGCAACAAAATATACAAATGCAAAACAGAGCTAAGCTAAGTGGTATCGCTATTAACACTAGCCCCCTTTGAGGATCACGTGCATGGAGCAATGTTCCTTAAAAAGGTTGACCTGGAAGAAAACAAAGAGAGAGGCTTATTAAACAACTAAACCGTGTTCCTCAAAGGCCATACATACGATTACGAGGGTTTAATCTAAGGGCCTGTTAAATAAACTCTACGGGACATCTAAGACCAAGACAACAATAATCTCCTTTGAAGATTATCGGTTAGTTATTAAAGTGATCTATGCAACTGGAGGAACTATCTACAATGATAAAGTATTTTTTTATTTATTTTTCAGGTGTCATGCAGTTATTAAATACCAAGTAACAAGAACAAACTCAAAAGAGACATGTGAAAAACTTTGCACCTACCCTGAAAGAATGAATGGGGAATAACCTGAGTCCAAATGTGGGGGCTTTACTCCAAGCCAATCAGCTCCACGTCAAATATGAGGGTTGCGTTGGGAGGAATGATGCCCGGGTGCCCCTTGCTCCCGTAAGCAAAGTCCGGAGTGCAAGTCAGCTTGGCACGCTGCCCCACACTCATCTGTCACAAGGGGGAGAGGTCATTTTACCAAATTAAGTACAGTACGAAACAATGAATGGAGGTTCAAAGAAGTGACACCGCTTGGTTATAAGAACCACAATAGACAGCTTGTGTATTTGTATGTTGAAGTGAAAAGGGAAATTTTCCAATTAGGCCGAGACCTACTTTATGAACAGACGGTGTGCCTTTCGATAACCGCACAATGCAGGTCAGGCAGATTTATATTGCAAATCAAACCCATTTTTCAGAGGATATCAAAAAGAATATGTTTTACAACATTACCTGGGCTACTCCCTCATCCCAACCACGGATGACTTCCTGTTTGCCAATTTTGAATTTGAAAGGCTTTCCTCGGTCCCTGGAGGAGTCGAACTTGCGTCCATCTGTCAGAGAGCCTGAGAAAAACCGGAATTAACACAGGTATGAATGAAGAAGCCAAGTCAACCTGCACACGCACAATTTCACATTGCTCAACATTTTTCATTCATTCATTCAGACCGTAAGCGTCAAATATTAAAACGGCCTTCCGTGGATGCAGATCACAATTTGGATTCATCCAAACAGTTTGGTTTGAAAACATAATGACTGTAAATATTTACGCATCATAGACGCCGGATGTTCGAATCAAAAGATCTGACAACCGAGGGCACGTTCAAACCGAAGTATTATGAAAAAATCACACTCACGGAGGATTCGAGTTGCAACATTTTAGCTGCAGAACATTCGAATCTAAACGTTCTAATCGAGCATCATAAGCGCGGTAAAAACATTCGAATGTGACGTTCAGACGCGCTTATAATCTCCAAAAAAGCGATTAGCTGCCCGCTATTTTGTTCACCGCATCATTAACGACATCAGTATAACCACTCTATGCCCGCAAAAACAGGCCACAGTTTCCAAATCCTGTGGTTTTGGACGCATTTATTAGTTTTGAGTAAAATGAAAGGTCAAAGATGACCCAAATATCAAAAGTAGATAGAATCTTAACGATTTAAAACCTCGATGAGCCGATCGCGGACGCGAAAGCGTCTGTTGTGTCAACGCGGCTAAGCAGCTAATGCTGGCTAACACCCTTCACGCGATTCATCAACACGATCACTTCTCAAACTTACCCACATAGTGCACGACACACGTCTGTCCTTTTTTAGGGAAAGTACTTCCTGAAATTCAAAACAAGAAGATACAAATGAACGGCAAATCCTGTGGGAAGAGGTTAGTGTTTAGCTAGCAGGCTAAAGCCCGTGTTGCCCAAAACAGGCAAAATGTGTCGCTTTAAAATGCGGCTGATTTGATATATATATGTATATAAGTAGTATTGCGGTTTGTGAGTTGTGGATGCGATTCCATCTGTGGTGCATTTTACCGTCTCCAGGAGTAATGGTTTCAACCTCGACTCCCATCCTGGCTGCTTGTTTTGACTCCTGAAGCTCTGCACACAGAATGCGCTTCTGTAACTCAGTAATTGTGATTGAGGGCAGAAACCCCCAGTCTGAGCCACACTCGCGCTCGCAGCGCCCCCAGCGGACAAACAGCGCTCCGCCTCTGAGCGTCAACCACAAATCGCCTTATTAATAGTTTCAACTCTAATTCCATTTAGTACAATACGCTAACGTGGTATTAGCCATTACTGTCATAAATAGAATATCTGTATGTCTTATTATTGTATGATTGCTGGAATGCATCTGTTTTTGCACTATGCACAGTCTTTTGCACTGTATAAATCTCATATTCTATATCTCCATCACAACCAGATCACCTTTTGTATATTGTTAGTTATTTGCACTGACTGGCAGGGGCGATTCT